AGAGAGTCACCAAGGGGAGCGTACCCGCTGCTAGAGCTTGGCGCAGCTCATCATTAACCCTTGGGTGCTTCAGATCAGATCCTAAAAGCCCTCTACAAACACCATCCGCAACCACAAGCTGTTTCCCTCCATCCCGACCTGGATTTATCACTGGGAGACAGATAGATTTTTCCTTCTTTCTCCCCATCCATTTATTTCACCCAATGAGACGATCCATCACGGCGCGCTGGAACCGACCTACGATCTGGGGATATTCTTAGATACTCAGCATGTCAGGAAACGGCTCACAGCCCCACTTGATGCAAATATTTGGACGAGCGAGAGGTAGGAAGGATTGTCCAAATGTTTACTGAAGGCTGTTGATAGCCCAAGGATTTATAACTGGCGCATAATGCCTGCCCCCACACAGCTCCTCTAGCAGGTGCATCCAGTTTCAGCATGACACATGGTATGTGCGTGCTCTGGGAACGGGGATGCAGGAGAAAGTGCTTTCACAGGTCTCGCCTCCCTCTTCCCATCTCCATTAAGGTTTGGAGAGGCAAGAAGGGAGCCCAGGGCCAGCTTTGGTGATAGAGAGCCTCAGCAGCAATTCGCATGTGAAGACAGAACATAAGCATTGAGCGCTTTGGGTTGGAATTTCCCAAGTGAAGCCAAGGCTCTGAATTATTGAGGCCCATTGTCACACTCCTTCGGTGCTGAGATGGAGAAATTCACATCATTCTAGCTATTGCTCTTTGCATTTCACTTCCTAACTCACACCATCAGGGTTTGATCTCCTTTGTCTCACAATAATCCCTAATCACTGTTGAGGGCACATCACTGCTTACTGATTGGGTTTAATATTTTCTAGTGTCCAAGGAGCAGCAGTTTTTTGGTGCCTTTGAGGACCCCAATGGAAATGCCCCAGCATCCAGGCAGCCCCTACACCAATAACAGAGAACAACAAGCTCAGAGCAGATCATGTTGGCCAACTAGAGTTGGAGATACACTCAAGGAAAACTTCAGTACCTTGCCCAAGGCCAATGAGCGAAGGCATTCAATGGCAAAAGAAGTCAGTTTGCTGATACCCTGTCCTGCATAGATGCCCTCAAGTTGCAGGGAGACCTCAGATGACTCCAACACAACCTCTTGTTCTGAGCACGACCCATACAAGATCAGTTTGCTGCGGCTTTGTGTAGCTGAGCCTTGAAAACCTTCAAGGGCAAAGCCCAACAGCCATGCACACAGTTAGTTCAGGCAGCAGAGGAACTGTTGGTGCCCTTATGCCCATCCAACCAAGCTCTCAGACTCTGCCAGGGGCTGTTTTGTCTGTAAGCATTTCTACATGGCATTACTGAGAATCCTATGGAGCAGGAGAAATGAGCACAGAGCTGAGTCACCCCAGCCTGCGAATCGCCTTTTCCTCAACCATTTGCTAGATTTTGACTATCCTAGGAACAAGAACACATGCACTCAGCATGCTGCAGACGCCCAGACAACGTGCTTTTCTGTGTAAGGAGCAGCAATTGTATCTGCTGCAGAACAGCCTTTAATTCATTGCAGCCCTGGAAGGCAGAGTTTGCTGACTGCTCAGGCAGGAATACAATGGCCCTATTGTTTTGCTAAGGGAAGATTTCTTTGTTGCACTCTGATGTGTAAACTGTATGTTTTCTATTTGTTACCTGATTCGTTTCAATGGAATCCCTCAGATAGGCTTAAGGCTGTCTGCTGTCCTGTGCTAGAGCAATGGGAGAAGCTGAGAGGTTGAGGACCTGGTTGTTAGTGTTCCCTCTATTTGGCTTGCTTGGAAAGAAGGAAGAGAATTTGGTGTTCTTTGTGGGAGCAGAAACTGCATAATAAAATACATGGGGGAAAAAAGTAGTAAGTGCTCAAATTCCAAAAGTCATCTTCTGTGCTCAATGAAGGTTTTCTTTATATACCAAAAAAATTTAGCCCTGGTTTTGGTGTCACATTCTCAGTGTGACCTTAAAAGTGTAGCTGTAACTCAAACTAAACCAGATTTCTCTCTCCTTGAACCTATTTCTCAACAATCACCCAACAGTGTGGAAATGTGTTTCCTAGATGAGAATCTTGAGCCATCAACAGGCCCCAGGCCAGAGGGATTCTGCAAATGCATATGGTGGTCATGCCTTGCACAGCCCAAAGCCTTCTTCACAGCTGTGCCAACCATGTTTCCATACCAATCTCTCCAATTTCTCTTCGTGTTAGCAGTGGGATTATCTCCCTGGACTTGCTGGGTTGTGATATGGGGACAGTCTCCCTATAGATCTCCTTCCACAGGTTCTCCTCTCCCCAGACCCTTTGTGTAGATGGAGTAAATCTGGGGTTCAAAAGATTGGTAAAAGGATTGGATTAAAGGCATTGCAGCCCAAAAATACAAGCCTAAAATCTGAATTTGCCTGCCGTCTGAACCCAGACGCATCCACAGTGCATGGGGGCAACAGCAAGCTGTGGCAGAAGAGAGGATCTTCTGCAGATATGTTCTCTGGCCTCTGTCAGAGCAGATTTAGGAGAGGAAGACTGTGGATATCCAGTTAAAAACTGCAAAACCAGTAGGATCTGGTCCAGGCTTAACCAAAGCAAAAATAAATCAGCTCAGTCACTGGTGTGTTTCAGTGCATTTGGGCTTAGAGGCGATGTGGGTGATGGCTTGTGGTCCAGACCAGTGTGGTGCTTTTAGATATATATAATTAGACGTTTTTTCTGCTGCAAACCATTACTGACAGATTGAAAGGGTTTTATTCTGCAGGATTTTTCTTGCCTTGTCTGCCAGGGAGCAAGCAGGCCTCACTCAAACTCTGCTTCGTTGGTGTAAATCACAGCATGGGGCTACCTTATCTCAGCCAGAGCCCCTGTGCAGGAATGCTGCTCTGTCCAGCCCTCAGGCCACCCACCCCTGATCCCAGGCTCCAGCATCTGCTCCAGGCTCCAGCTCTGACCCTTCAGAGACATATTTTTGCAAGGTCAGGAGGTTGGGTGGTAAAAGGGGAGTGGAGAATAGCAGGGAAACAGTGAAGGCTGGCTCTGCAAAGGGATTTCAGGAGGATGTTTACACTCGCCATTAAATGCAGGCTTGAGCCTGTTCTCTTCTCCAGATTCACTGCCCATCTGCACTGTTTGCATGCAAGCATGCATGAGGCACAGGCACGGTCCCAGCTTCAAAGCCTTTTGGATGAGGGTGGTCCATGCAATGCTCTGAACCCTTGGGCTTTGGTTGTGCAACTTGGGCCAAGCACAGCAAGGTAGGAGCAGTGAGACAGCCAGCCCTGCTGGGCATCTCTGGGTCCTTCACAGGGCAACAAGAATGCTTTCAGCACCAGTTAAAATGTCATAGAGAAAAACCATATGGAAAAGAGGCAGAAGAAGGACTGGATATGGCTCTGGGCAATCTGGTCTAGTGGTTGGAGACCCTGCACATAGTAAGGGGATGAAACTAAATGATCCTTTTCAATCCAGACCATTCTATGATTCTATGATTCTATGATTCTATGATTCTATGATTGGGTCAAGAGCCTTTCCAAGAAACAGCTGCACAGGGGTCACTGGACACAGCCTGACTATCATCAGGAACAAGGAGAGACTGTGCTTGCATCACACCAGGAGACATTTTGATTAAGAGAGAGCATTCCAAGCAAAATTCTGATTTTCTTAAACTGTTAAACTGAAAATGGGTTTACAAAATGACCTTCTGTGCAGACATTTGGGTACACATTTCTTCCCGAATGAAGAGGAAAATGTCATTTCCTTTCCTATACAAGCTGATCTCAACGCAGGAGATGAAGACTCCGAGCTTTTCCCAACGAAGTTGAGGGTTTGCTGTCCAATAGAGTGGGTTGTGTGGTGAATTCTTCCCAAACTACTCATTGCAGTAAACTATCCCAACTGCTACTGAGCCTTTCAGCGAGTGGTTGAATCACTAAGCCTGAGCTCTGGGAAGGCAGCCCCATCCATCCCAGCCCAGGCTGCACCTCCCTGGGGCTGGGTGCCATCCCCAATGGTCCCATCCCCATCCAACAGCCCTGAGGCCAAACCACCCACTGCAGCGTCTACGAATACAATTCCCATTCCAGCCCTTGCTTTCCTACATGGGAGCTTGCATCCTTCCCTCCTCCCTCCGCCCTCCCTGGTGGTGCAGCTGCTCGGCTCTGCGAGGGAAAGGCTCCCAGATGTGCTTGAGAGGGAGCGGGCAGAGTCCCGAATTCCACTCCGTGCTGTGCGGACTCTTTGTATATTTTGTTTTAAGGAGAAAATATGCATCGAGTCCTCGGAGAAAGGCTGGGGACCAGGCACGTCCCTGTGATCACGACGAGCACAGGGGCTGCAAGCCATCCACCCTTGGCTTTTCTCTGCTTGCGGGATGGCAGCTCTCAGCATCATCATCAGCTAAAACCCATCTGCATTACACAGCAGGTCCCTAACCCCTTCACTGGCTCAAAGCACCCTTCCAGAAAATGGGATTTTCTGCTAAAAGAAACCCCAAAAATCAGGCACCTAACTGCTCACATTTGCTATTTTTGGTATTTTTGGCTCACGAGCCGCGTGCCATATCAGATCAATAAATATTCACACGCTCCTAAGTGCTTTGTGGAGTATGTTTCATTGCATTTCAAGCGCATTTAGCTGTGGCACTTGGTAGCTACATGGTTATTGCGTGAGACAGTACGTTTATGAAGTGTTGGCCTTCATTTAGTTAATCATTTCATTGATGTGCAATATAAAAATAGTATGAAACTAATTGTTTCCATAGAAACAGGAACCCAGCAAATTATTTCGTATCACAGCTTGGCAGAAGAAAAAGAAGAAACTGCTGTAATTGTTCCCATTAGTGAAACACAGAGGATTCATGCTCAATCTCTACTACACTCGGCCTCACTTCTGCTGTGAATTAAGGGACGAAAAGTCAGCACAAGAACCACAGGAAAAAAAAGCACAGAAACAAGCTGCGCTTTATTGAGTATTTGTTGTTCTGCCACCAAAACATTTTCCCTTCTGCTTTACAGGTTTCTGGCCAGCAGCTCCAAGGACTGTCACAACCATGCTGTGCATTTGGGAACATCATGCAATGGGGCTTTAACTGTGAATGGAGGACATCGTGGCCCCACTATGGGTGGGATAAGAACAACTCTCACCTCAAGGGTGAGTGCTTAAAAGTGGAGGCAAAGCTAGCTGGTGGAGCAAGTGATGGGGGCAGGCTTCCCTGAGGTGCAAATCAGCCCATGTGCACTCAAAATGACCCAAATCACGACCTTATGGAGGCTCTTTTGGCTGTAGGGTGCACTGATGACAGAGACAGTTCCCACCATCTGTGGATTTCCTCACCCTGGCAGCTCAGTGAGGAGCAGCGGGCCCTAGCTAAAAGCCTTGTGGTCCAGATGTTATGAACCATCCACCCTGGTTCCAGTAAGAGCAGTGCTCCTACAACACCACAATGAGCAGCTGCATGGAGGTTTGAGCCATCCCAGGGTGGAGGTCAACTTCTCCATCCCCACGTTTGCCATAACCAGCCACAGCACACGCAATGATAAAAAGGGAACCGGCAGCACAAAACTCATCCTGATTTCCAGGCTGATGTCTGCACAACCCTACTGGCTTCTCCAACAGAACCAAGAGACACAGACCTGCTCTGTCCCAGGGTTTCCCACTAGGCTGATTACTGCTAATTGTACCACTTGTCTATCTCGCCAGCCGCACCCTGAGCAGGGCTGATAGGGTATCAGTGAGATAAGGAGCACTTGGATAGCTCAGGTAACAGAACTTTGGGAGGGATTATCACCACTGCCACCCTCCTTCGGGGGGACACTGAGGTCCTAAGGATGTGTGCAGGGGCTGGCATCCAGCTGTAAGCCTTGTGGGAAATGCTACTGTGGGTTTTGGTGACTCTATCTGCAAGTTGCAGAGAAGCAAGCTGGCATTCATTTCATAGTAATTCCTTTAAATTCACTTAGCATGCGGATTATTTGTATGAGCTGTTTTTGCTGTTGTTAACACAACACTGTGGAAATGGAGGCTTCATCATTTCTCCATCTTTTTCCCCCCTCCCACAGAGAAATAAATGCTGTTCTTTTAACAAATGCTGTATCTCTCATTTCATTTCTTATTTCTCCCCAACTCTGATGGCCTACCCGAACAAATTCAGCTCCCACACTGGCACAAGGTAGGGATTTCTATCACCTGCTTGCTAAGGAAGAGACTTGGATAAGGCATTCTTATTTGAAAACGTTTTTGGTAAATGACTTGCAAAAAGATACTTGGAATATTCACACTCAGAGACATTCTTTGTTAGATATATTTTCTCCTCAGCACATAACAGCTTCTGGCTGTATGTAAAAGCACATCACATCTGGCAGGTAAAACACACTGGCCACATCAGCACCTACACGTTGTCTTGCTTGTCTCAGAGCAAACATCACTGCTGCATTACATAGAGGCAGGTGTGCTACACAGCTTGGCTGAGCTGGGCAACTCATGGCTGTGAGTCCCCTCACCTGAGGCTTGGGATGTTGTCCATGTCCATTGCTCCATGTATAAGAGCAACATTGGAAGCCTGGAAAGCCAGGTAAGCAGACAGGCAGACATTTTCTTCTATAAGATACCCCAATCATCTGCTCTTCCTTTCAGAGTCCTTTCAGGTCTGCATTCACATCGGTTTAAGTTACCAGAGTTTCTCATTGTCATACAGTGGAGCTCATAACAAAGCCTGTGACCAGCTCTTTCTTTGATAATTCCTTTCCCTTATTTGTTTATCTCAAGTACTGAGCTTTGTTCCAGTCCCAAAACCAAAAGCCTTTCTACCCTGTTCTCCCCTTGACTTGTTGCAGATGTAACAAAATAAATCTTTAGAAAGAACAAACCTCCACTTCCTCTCTCAGTCACAAACCCTAGGAAAGAAAAATAAATCACAACGTGAGCTCACCCGCTCTTGGAGGATACCACACTGTTCCTGAAGGCCACCACTCAAACTGGAGGTGTCCATCCCTCAGAGAGATCAATGAATGCAGCAAATTAATGAGCAGCATCAGCTCGAGCTGTGACATGAAACCAGCCCCAAAAACAAATCCACGTGCAGTGCCATGAGCCAGGCAATCCTAATTCTCCATGTTACTTTTCCATTCCATGGCCTATTGGTGGGACAAAGAATTGGTACTCATGAAATCACCATTTTATGAGTGGCCAAAGTCAAGAGTGGATAAAAGCTTGCCATGATCAGTCTGAATCACGGTGGATGTGATGGCCAGCAATGGTCAGGAGTGGCACTGTGCTGCTGGCGTGCTCCCAGCATTCATCCCTTGGGAACTGAGGGCCAATGAATATCTCTGTCTCATCCCAAAACTCTGCCCCTCATCTCCCCTGACACCCACCTAATGCCTTTTAAACTGGATCTGGAAAAATCAGCAGCAGGGTGCGTTTGTTTTTCTCAATTGGCCATGGCAAAGAGGTAGAAATACACCTCCAAACAGCATTTCTTCCTCTCCTGAGAGAAGTCTCCGTATGAGAGCTGTGTTGCTCAGAAAGGCTCAACCCATCTCTAAATGTGACCAAATCACAACAGCTGTGTCTCCAGCTGACACAGGTCTAGGATAAAGACAAACTGGCTTTAAGCTGGGAGTATAAAACTGTACAGAAGCAGCGATCTGGATTTTCATCAGATAGCTTTTATTCCTTCAAGGATACTCAGGGGCAGATGAACCATGAGATACCCACAAATTGCGCTGAAGTCAGAAGACATTTGGCCCAACACTTCAGAGGGCCGAAACGAGACTTTCCTTCTTCTTTTCCTTAAACAGGAGATCTTTGCAGTTTTGAAACAATCTGTACAGTTAACATCGAAGAAAGTGTAATTAGACACTTCGAGGACTGGAAGAAATTAACTCCAACCACAGACTGTCACTCAGACCATTATTTAATTATTCTCCCCAAATGCGCAAAGCACTTAGTTTTAGAATAACAGGAAAGAAGTCTAACTCCTCACCAAGAGCTAAGTCTCTGGGTGGGGACGCAATGGGCTCCCAAGCCATAGGATGGGGACAGGAATGAACGCCTTGGGCACAACTTTGGGCTCTGAAGGACATGATTGATGCCTGAATGGCTGGAACACAGTCAACGGGAGTGCCCAGCCCTAGGTACAACAGGCTGTGGGAGAGAAGATCGCCTTCAGTTTCCAACATGCCAAGGAAACCGCTGAGAAATTGCTGTTTTCCTTCTTCTGCAGCACCGCGCGGAGCCGTTGACTCACCCCTCGCTACAGAAACCTGGCTAGAAAGAGATTATTGTGATTTCTGACTGTTTCTTTCCTAACTACAAAAGACCCCATTCATCTGGGCTAATTTTGACGGGAGAGCAAGGGGTATCAGTAGCATGAACTGTATCTGAGCGTCTCGACCGCATTTCAGCAAGCCATGCCTGTTGGCCAGTTCCAGCCGGTGAAATGGATATCCTCCGTTTCAAGCTTTTTAGTGGATCATTTCTCTGGTTCTAAACAGAGGTATCTTTTCTGGCCGTGGCAAGTTAGAGAAGTACTGACGAAGCAGAGACGGCCATTTTCATGGCAAGAACAAGAGGCCATTTAAAAAGGGGGAAAAGGCCGCTCTGCTCCGTCAATGCACCAACGTTTGTCTGCCTACATGCGCCCCGCGTGTGCACCAAGGCTGTGTCCAGAACAGTGAATCTTTGCCTTATTTCCAAGGGGTGAACAAAACATACTTTTATTTTTATTTTTTGAAGATTTTGCTCAATTGTGAGCCTTCTTGGAGCTCAGCTGGGACAGCCTGCGTGTGTGGGAAGGGCTGGAACGTAATTGCTTTCAGCAGATATCACTGTAGTCTGTAATTAAAACATACGAGGCTGCCAGCTTCGAATTTTCTAAGTGATTTCATCTGTATTTGGGTGATCACTTCTCTCTGAGAGGCTCGTATTAAATGATATTTCAAGTTCCAGTGCACTAAAGGGGTGAAAAACTGATTTTGTCCTCTCCTTCTTGTAGTCCTACAAGAAGGACAATCTAGGCAGCTTGGAGAGGCAGAGCTCAGACCTCATAAGCACATCCCTTCACCAGGGAAATGCTTGGTGAAAGCTGCTCAAGAAGTGCTGCTCCAGAGACAGAGCGGAAGGTGTTGATAAAGTTTGTTAAAGAAAAAGGGGGGTGGGGGGGGAAGAAAGGCTAACAAAAAAATCTGGCACCTCCTAAATCAGAGTGACAATTTCAGTGCAGTGTTTACATGGGGTAGTAAAAATAAATTGCCTGAGACTGATTATACCCACATGGCACTCTCCAGCCAACAGGGATGTCCTCCAGTATTGGAAACCCAACACAGGGAAACACATGTGGCAATCCTCAGCCCATTGGGGCCAGCACTGCTTTCTTCCTTGCCTCAGTAGATGGAAACAGCAGTGAGAAGAGGGATGTGCAACTCCCCACCAATGGACATGATCGCTTTGAGAACCACGTTTGGCTTACAAGGCCACTGCTGCTGCGTCCTACAAGGGCTGTGGGCAAATGAGCAGAGTGGGCTTGGGGCATCCTCAAGCTTTGACAAAAAATGCCTGCTGGATCAAAATGGGTAATGGAAGAAGGCAAAGATGACAGCATCACTGTTAGAATTGTAATGAGTCACAAATGCAATTTTGATGGCTTTCTTTGAAAGATGTACACAAGAGCCAACTGATATAACTAAAGATCTCCTAAGCTTTATAATCAGCACGGCCACAAATGCACGTGGTAGAACACATGAGTAGGGTCCCCAATCAAATAAAATAAAAATTAAAAAAAAAAAAAAAAAAGAGAGGAAAAAAAGAGAAAAAAGATATTTTGAAGAGTTTTGTTTGCAACGATACCAGGACATGAAGAACATGCATCCCCCATGTGACAGAACGACTGTAACATCTTGCACGGCTGAGATGTTTAAACTTAAGAAATAAGATGGGTCACTCAGCAGACAGTTTTTATTCTTGGCAAGCAAGCTCTGAGCATGGAGAAAGTGAGCATTTTTGTCCTAAGTGTGACCACCTGGGACTGATCTGCTCGGGGGAGCAGGAAACACCGTGCAGTTGACCTGATAGAAATAGCTGCTGTTTCCTTTGCATCCCATCACCACGGGGCTGTGAGGTGCACCGTATCCCTGTGTGCATCCAGTGTTTACAGAAAAACATCAGAGAAATGGTGAGTGTGGATTAATCTGCCTGAAGAAGCTTGTGATTAATGCAACTTGGATGGTGCTGTGGGAAGGCGGATGGCTTGAAAAGATGGAAGGAAGTTTGAGGCTGTCCTGGCTTGATACTATATATGGTCTTTGGTCAGTTCTGCTTCAGAGGCTGCAGCCAGAATCAGATTTTTATTGTATTTCTTTTTCAAGCAGTAAAATGCTTGAATAATTTCACCCAACTCAAAGAGCCGAGATGGATAGGTCCACCAGTGATCCAAGTGGTGATGGATGGGTCCACCAGCAATCCCTGCTATGAACTGGCTGCACCAGCAGGATGATTTCTCAGTGCATGGGCTATGAGCTTGACCAAGTCCCTTCCAGCAGCCCTACTTAGGCTGCAAAGCCCCAGAGATTTGTGCTTTCACACAGATCCAACCTGCACTGATAACCAGCACTGCTGAGTGCGCTGGAACATCCCCCCCTCCCCTCCCCTTTTACATCTGCTCTACATTTGCATCTCAGAAATTAGAGAACTGAGCTATGCAGAATTACAGAGCTTGGGCTGGAGTATGGAACTGATTGGGTATTCAGGCTAAATAAGAAGAGTTTAAAGATCTTTCCAGGAAATTGAGTGGAACACCCAAACTGACATTCGGTATTAAATATTATATTTGTGCAGTTGCTCTGCATAGCCACTTGGCACTGAACATCTGGGAGCACGATTTATAACATACAGAAACTGAATACCTGCTCAAAATTACACTCATCAGAGCTCAGAAATTAAAATATTACTCTGTACACTCCGAGCCACTCCATTCCTAAAAGGTAAGGCTATTAAAATATGATTAGCTGAGCCGTATCTGCTCTCAGAAATGTCATACGCCATTACAACTGAAAAGACTTTGATGCAGTGCTGTTGGCAAAGCCCCTTG